TTAAGTCCCATGAACCTCCAAGTGCCCACCAAACCTGTAAGCTGCAGCTCCACTGCTACCAGCGGGCAGCAAGGGGTTTCCTTCCAGTTACGGAATTTCTGCGTAGCGCGTCCCTATCTAGAAGTTTGGGCTGCAGAAGTCCTTGCACCTAAACCCTAAACCACCCTAAACCNNGTTTAGGGCTTAGGGTTAGGGTTAATTTTCGAAACCTACATCTAAGTCCAGAGAAACGTTATAAACCAAAAAACCCTGACTGTAAGTCCCAAACCCTAACTCCACGGCTTAGGGCTTGGGGTCCCCCACCTCGTCCTCGGAGATGGAGAGGTAGACCACCTTCGAAGGCTCAAGCCAAATGAGTCCAGAACCACTGTACCTACGACTGCCACACGAAAGGTACATGGACTGACATTGCATGGAGTGTTCTAGCTTTCTCCTGTCGCTGGTTGCTACTATGAAAGCAGGATTTTCGCAAAACCTCCGAAGCAGTGCAGGCCAAGCCCTAATCATGCCTCTCAATCCACACCTCGGCTAGGGTCGCTATTTCAGAAGATGAAGTTCGTTCCCGTCATGTAGAATTGTGCAGAAGTGCTCAATAGAACATGATGAAGAAGCCCAAACTATCGGCCTGCTTCAGAGAACGGGGCTTTCACCAGGAATGCTTATGAATAATCCGGCACAAAAAGGGGCACATGGAACATGGGTCTGCGCTCTGGACGACCGTGCTATAAACCCTCAATCCCCCAGCCGGTAATGATACTCATTTTTCCCTCTCCACTTATCACCCCTCTATAGGAATGCGACCAAGTACCCCAGAGAACCTAGGCTAATGAATCGTAGGCCCCGAGATAGCCCGAAATACTAAGCCTCAACGATCAGGCCTGGCGGTGACCTTTTAAGGCCCCGTTACTCAAAGAGCTCTATGAAAACTAGTCAGGCCAATATGTTCAACCCTCTATCCTCCAACTGGCGCCAGCCAAGAGCCAAAATCCCAAATCCTAATTCCAAATCTAGCATTACAGGCACAAATGAAAGGATCAAGAACCTTACTTCCTAAATCCTACATCCTAACCACAACGGCAAGTGTTATAGAACCCTTTAAACGAACTCTAATGTTGCAAACCTAAGCGCAAGGTCTTAAAAAAAAAGATCCTAGTCAAGTGCACAAAATCCTAAATCCAAAAACAACCACCTCCAAAATCCCAAAAACTCCGTTTAGGGTTTAGGGTTCAGGG